GTGGGGACGTGTTGCAATGTCTGGAATGACAAATAGTCGACCTAGAAGTGGCAAGAAAAGACAGATTAAGAGAAGAGGCAGGAAGTACTAAACTATAAAAAAACCAATTAGCAATTCAAAACGGTGTTTCGGAAACGACAAAAGAAATTGTCACAAACAAAACGATGTCTGGGGCGAGGTCCGACTGTCCTTTGAGACTCGTCTGAAGGATCAAGTTCTTGAAAAGCTCGACCATAGTTCTCCGTGGTGTTGAAACAAAGATCAAGTTTGTGCAAACCTCGAAAGTAGACGACAGTGGTGCTGTGTGACTTACAGCCCGGGAAGCAAGAATCCACGATGGAAAATGCTTCGCAATTTGATTATATGGAACTCCGTGAACTTTGAAAGCGAATCTCCTCCGTAATAGTAAATCAAGTAACTGGCAAAAGTCTCTCCGGATACACTTTAACTTTAATTGTTCTCCCCTTCCTTGATCATTGCCTCAAACCTTTGATCTTGACCCCCCTCCCCCTCCACTCATACACAAATCGACTCTAATCCGGAGCTGTCAATCAGGTTTTAAACAAATTGAAAGAGGGTCACCCGATACGTCATTTTTTTTCTCCCCCGGCGTTGTTCATCACCTCCAACCTTTGATGTGCTTTATTTCCAGCAGGAGACAATAGTATCATACAACCTTTATATCAGGCATCTCAAGCAAGTGGTGAAAGCTTTCTAGTCTTACAAATATAAGGTGGGCGGTTGCATCCAGCAGCTTCGGTATTTTGCAGTACTTGTCTTTAGTATCGGACTATTTGGATTTGGGTTAATCTGTGGTTTCGTTTGGCTCCTCTTCTTTTGTCTTTGTAGTAATCGTAGCTCTTTCTGTTTATCTTTGGTCTCTTATTTTATCGTTTCCGTTTTTATAATTTTTGAAGAAGTTTTTTTTTCTTTGTTTTTTGTCTGCTAACGTATTTTTTTAATATTTTTTTTTTTTTGGCCTCGGTAGCTTTTAAAATGTAAGTGAATTTTCGCCCTCATGGATAGAAGGACACATCGTCCAGGAGTCGGGTTCTGATCCTGCCTGTCAGAGCCAACTCGGGCTGAGAGGGAAACAAAAGAAAAATCGAGATACTTAATTTGTTTTAAAATGTTCCCAACACGGAAATTGAGCATGGGTCTTATTTGCCCTGCGACAAATGGCCTAGCCGCTATACCACAGACGCTGGCCGTTAGATTTGTTACTATATTGTGTAGGTGCGACGTTTGTATATTATTGTCCATCTGTTAGGACTGCATTGATTCAGATGAAAATTTGGGGTGAGGGTGAGGGCAGGTCGGAGTAGGAGGAGGGGGGGGGGAGACAGACTTGATTAGTAATGGCTACAATAAATGTGGAGACATCCAGGAAGCCAATTACGTGGCACGCAAACCAATACCAGAAACACACAGCTTGTCTCCCC